TTGATATGTAGCCATAGATGAAAACATTGCCAAAGGTAGATAATATTTTTCGAGTTTGAAAACAGAAGCGAATACATTCTCTTCTGCAGTAGTATCATATATTGGTAAGATTTCCAATAACTAATATTAAATTTCATATCGCAAGCACGTAAAAATAGCTAACTATGCCACCATACCATTACTTTTATCACAAGCGATTAAAAAATACTCTAAACCAGTAACTCATTCTAGTTTCAACCTGATTACTTAAATTGCATGTTAGTTAAGTTACTCTTTTAGCAATCTTATTTTGTGTTAATGAAATATCCTGAAAAGCTTTTAGATTTTTGGGATAAATAATTTTAAATAATATTAGAAAAACAATGGGACAGAATTTTTTTTTCCATAACGTTGGACATATGATTGACTGGGCGGCGGTCGTTTGGGCGAAGGTAATAATTTTAACCAAAAAAATAATTGTTCCATTTGTTTGACTATCATGTGTACCGTTTGGGCAAGTGAAATTATTTTTACCTGTGCGAGGTAAAAATCTGATGACAGGTACGGATGATATTATTGCTAATAAAAAATAAAGAGTTTATATAAGAAACATAGAATAAATATAAAAGAGGGGATATTAACCAATTAGAATACATAAAATGTTTAGTTTTAAAATATCAGGCTGATAGATTGCTTTAAAAACTACTAATAATTATATTATCTGTAATTTTATTTTATTAATTTTAATTTTTTGACTGCAGATTATTTCCTACTTATAAATAATAATATTATTAATATCCATATCAATATTTTTTTTAAATAGAACTTATTATTAATTATTTATATTTTATATGATTTTTTTTTCAATTAATTGTTGAATGTGTATCATGAACATTTTCATACAAAGCCAATAGATTACTAAATACTTATATAGTTAGTTTTTTTATACTTGCATATTAACAATATTCATATCAATATTTTTTTTTTTTTTTAATGTAACTTATTGTTAAATATTTATATTTTATATTATTTTGTTTAATAATTGTTGAGTGTATATTATAAGTAATTTTTAAACCATCCAAACGGTATTTCTAGTTAAATAATCCTTGCCCAAACGGTATATATCTATTTACCCAAACGGTATATATTTATTCGCCCAAACAGACTATATTTTGGGTAGATTCACCCAAACGATGTACGCCAGATCGACTGTGTGGTGACGTTATTGAGTTGGTGACTGTTGGACTCTGAAGCCGAATCGGTTGTGTGAGACTATGGTGGAAATGAGGAGGAGCCTTTTTAGAAGAATTTTTTCGAAGATTTTCGTTATGGTCTATACGATGCAGGATTTGCAGGTGATCTGTTTGGTTTGAGAATGAGAATTATCATAGAGAATTTCCAGGCCCTAGAAAAGCGTGACAATCTGTCTAAGACATTAAATAATTATATAATGAGATGAATGCGATAAATGATTTACGTTCAATGAGTCGGAGTTGGCGGTGGTGACGGGAATTTCGAGCGCGCGTCTCTTACACTCGGATGTTGCGGACGCATCGCTAATTGATGGGCCGTGGAGATGAATATGGGTCGATCAGATCTGAGGAATGTCTGTTGACGAGTGGTGTATAGAAATCGCGTCGTTATTTGTCAACTCTATTACGTACGAACCGCATCGTACATAAATATTTTAACCCGTCGCCGTCTCATATCCACAACAACGATATAATATATTTACTGTCCCCTACTTTCCCTATAAATATATATAAAAATGTTTTCCTTATCTTGCGAGAGAAGACAATGGAAATTGTCTCGACTAAACGGCGAATACCGCGCATACCGCATACCCCGTTACTATGGTGTTTTTGCAAGCGCCGGGGTAGTCCGTGGCTCGCGTGCCGAAGTTTTTCTGTTCTTTTCTCTCATCCGTATTTCTCTACACGTTTTTGCCACAATTTTTTCATCTTACTTTTATCGATTTTTATAATAAGACTGTAATGATGAACATCATTCATTTAATTGCAAAAGAATGCACAAATATTTTATCATAATGTATACTAATCATATGTACGTAATTTTAAACCATTTTAAATAATAAATAAATAACGGTTTCTTCGATGCCCTCACGGACAACACAAATCGAACAATAAAGACTATTGACATCTTAATCTTCAAAGGACAGGTCCAAGGCTCATGCCATCATACGTCCCTGTATAACAGGTACACACAACCATCCCCACAGAGCTCTTGATCTTAAGTCGTCAGTGCATGCGCACCGATTGTAAGATTAACGAAGCAGACTCTCTATCTTTGGTCGTCTATGCATTCGATCATAAGATTAACGAGAGAATTTATACGTGCGATTTATCTGATTTGTCATTTTTCATCCGCTCGACTTGTGTTCTTCGTACGAGTGTTGAAGAGTATCCGGTTCCAGTGCAATTAAATTCTGCATCTGTTCTTTTTTTCAACCTCATATCGATATACGGAAAAACAAGTAAGTGCTGCTTTATTTAACTTGACAGACTGTACGATTGCGCTGATCGGCTTTCGAACCTTTACAACCCTGAGAGGTCTCCCTTAAATAAGGAGGAAGGTAAAAATCCATTAATACATCGTAAAAATCCACACATTTACATATATCTTCACCATATATATCTATCCCCCTTTCACCGTTACTTTGGTATTTTTGGGCTATTACTAGACAAACGAAGGAGAATCGATGTCTCGATTTCACATGGAATTTTTAAATGATGATTGTATTTTTTATGTGGTGTATATATAACTGATGAAAAAATAATTGAATTAATACAATGTATTATATAACATTTAAAATATGCATAATAGCGCCCACATTACACACTCATGATATGGGAATTAAATGACATTCTTTTTAAACACAGTTATGTTAAATGGAAATGACATAAAAATTAAATCACTGTTGTATAAGTATTCAAATTGCCGTAATTTTGTTGGGGAGTTATCAGATTTTATTCGGTTATATTTATCCATGAACTGCTAATTTTATTTCCATTGCAATCAACATTATTTTAAAGCCAGATTTACACACTAAGATAAACGCTAGCAATTTAAAGTAACGATCGAATTGTTTCGATTTATCGTCGAATGTAAATCTTTTTTCTTCAAATTTCCCATCGAAACGATCGCCAGAGGTTTTTGTCGATATATTTTTCGCTTGGGAGCGGGTAAAGTAGAACATCATTTGTATCCCCTTTTCTTATTACGTGTGTGAACTTCATTCTCCGTAGAGTTGGTCAGGTGGGGAGCAATGTGGAGCAACCAAAACGATGGTCGGAGTGAGGGACTACAAAATTATTTTTGCAGAATGCTTTATTGCACGTAAATAGCACATTTTAGCGATTTATTGGAATTGGATTGGGTGGTTGATGCCAGCCGGCATCAGTTTCTGCGATTCGTAACGATAACCGTAAACATTTAACAACCATTTATTCGTATAATTTTACTTAGTTTTCATTGTCTGTTCACGGTAAAGGTTGTGCTGAGCAAACTGAGTTCTGAGTGAACTGCGGCCGATAAAATATGTCGGACAAGAAATCTTAGCGTGAAAACTGTAATAACTCTCTTCATTAATTTAGACAGTAAAATGTCAACCACATCGTTAAGATTTATCGTAGTGTGTATACCCGACTTAAGAATAATATGTCCAAAAGTATTCATTTTGATAACTCGGAATTAATTTATTACATACTATCTGTTTTTATAAGTTCAAATTACAAATTAGTACTTAACAAAAATTAAACTGGTTTCAATCCAATCGATTAGTATTTTCTTCTTTTAGTAGGGTTGGGGATATAATTAATACCTCCCCCCCCCCTTATATGAAAGAGGCCGTTAATTTATATCTTCGAATAAGCACAGGTCAATAAATTATCTTATAACTTAACCTTCTTTAAAGTAAAAATATGATTGGCTTATATGTAGGTATATTATTCAAATATTATATTCCACTACATTAATAAACGCACAAGTATGTTACATAATAAATAATGTAATTTATTCATCATGAGTCTTATCAAACATGGATAAAGGAAATCACGGTCCAAGATAGAATTGAAAATATATATATATATATACCTACTTTAGGAAGTGTACGCGATTGAGAAAAATAAATAAATAGAACTAATTATTTAAATTCATTAGAATGCCTATATATTTAATTAGGTTGCTGTTTTTGTTATCTTATCGAACATTGGTGTTTTAAGTACTATGTAGATGAAAAAAATTATAAAATTTAATTTTTATATTAATTAATAATAAGGAAGTATTTTATGCAATTGTATTGATTCGATGTTCTCTATTTACGGTACTAATCTCATCCGAACGTGGAGATATGTCCGTTGTCCTTTTCTGTTTTTATTCTAGTTTTATTGAACACCTCGTCGATTTCTCTCGTCACTATAATCGGGAAAGGCAAACGAGAGTGAACTTGACACTATGAAACACGAGATTTTTGTTCGAATAGCATTGACATTTGTTGCTTTTTCGATTTGTTTATATAAATAACACGTCTGCGAATTGTTGAACCACCCAAACGTTGAACGAAAACTCGCCGTGTAATCCTTTGTGCGGGACCAAAATACCGATCCAAAACGCTGTACATAAGTTGATCCCACTAAGCGTTACTTTTGTTCGTGCTTCTTTAAGCTTGAAGTAGACGAACAGTAGCCGTACACCCTTACGTCGGTCACCACGCGCTGTTGTGCATTTACTTGCTCGTAACACGCAGTGACAAAACTAGATAAGTAAGTAGTAGTAGTAGTAGTAGTATAAGTAGTAGTAGGTAACTAGGGGTAGGGATTCGAGGATCCGGACGTAACATTTTAGAGGGTGTAATAATACTCTATAATTGACCGCTAGTTTGATATTTTTAATTTTATTACTGATAATGTATTTAAAACACGTTAATTAATGTACGGCTTAATATAACTTATATATGTAGTATAAGGAAATAATAATTTTAGAAATATGCAACCAAGGTAACTATAACTCCATGACTATATGTTTGATGTTTTCATTGAATTTAGTTTCATCTACGATCTGACATTTTCTTACGAGAAAACTGTTGTTTACTATCAGTTGTGATTTTTTTGTGTAAAAGAACCCTGTCGACTCAGTGCGCGGCAACGTTCTATTATACATTTACCGATTGCAAATCGGCATTGCGTTCATAATCCAAAGTTTATACACTACGATCGGATCATGCATTTTGGTAAACATTATTGGAATTCCCAAAACTCAAAACCGTAAGTATCGTTTCATATTACAAGTGTTATTTTTCCAATGGCATATACTAACAGTGATTTTGAATTGGTATTATGTTAAAATTCTTCTTTTACAATTATAAATATAAGTTTCAATTGTATCGAAAACGCTGAATAATAAATCATTTATCATTTTTCAGATGATGAAATCACTCTCCCCTCATCTGTTACTGTGACGGAGTTAACTTCGGTTCCAGTACAGTTATCAAGTTTATCAACCAACGGTACTCCGAGAAGAAGACCAAGACTTCCACCATTTTCACCAATTTCCCGATTAGGTCTAAATGCTTTTTTTACATCATTCTGTGTAGATTACTTTGTACTTGATATACTAATATATTCCCGACGACTTTTATATAGATTAATCTTATTTATTTGGTTGTAAAAAACAATTTTACATTAATCAAGAAAAAATATATATAATAATATATAAGAATAATTAATTTTGTATTGAAATTCTTATTAAACTAAATTATACTGTTTTACAGACAATGAAAAGCCTCTTTCTACAACGATTACTGGAATTGACTTTACTTCAGTTCGAATAAATTCATCGAGTTCTCCGAGAATTAGACCGAGACGTCCAACATTAGCGTAAATTCTTCGATTAGGTCCGAGTGCTGCTTTTTACATTTTACATTTATTTATTTAGAGTTACATTGTACTTAATGTACAAAATTTTATGACCAATGATTTTTGCCCGCATGACTCTTACATTTTTTTTTTAACATCTGTCGTAATATGTTATGAACAAAAATAAGATAAACACTCATAATTCGTTTATATTGAAAATTCTAATTTAGCTATTATTTGTCGTTTTACAGATAATGGAGAGATTGTCCTTACAACAATCAACGAAATGCAATGAAGTTCAGTTGGAGTGAATTTAATGAGTTCACCAGCCAACAGTGCACCGACAACTATATCGAGACGTGCACAATTGCCAACAATTCCTCTATTAGGTTCGATTGTTGCTTTTACATTTTTACATCGATCTGTATAGAGTACCGTTTTACTTGGCACATATTATTCTAAATTATTCTTGAATAATTTAATCATATCAATTTTTTATCGCTTTTTAAATAAAAAAAAAATGTTTATATTAGTTATAAATATATATAATTAGTTTTGTTACATTAAAAATTAATTTTAGTGCAATTTAATGTTGATTTAAAAATTATATTTTTTTTAAAGATTCTGAAGAAATAGTCCAGACATCATGCCGACAGAAAGAATACATATAATATACGAAGTTAATGATCTGCAGATTAAACGTCGTTAAGAATTGGCTAACAAAAATGACGGGAAAAATCAAATAAACCAATTAATTAGAAACATCGAATCAGAATTACGATGCAATATTTGCTTTGAAATTTTTACTAAGGTAAGTGTCTTATAACTTAAAAGAGTTCTAGAATTTTACTTAACTTAGAACTCTAAAAAAATATTAAATAGAAATTTAACATAAAATATTTGCTTCATTTCCAAGTAGTGCGTGAATGTATTGATTTGATGATTTTGGTTTAAAATTGAAATTAAAATTTACTCTAATATCTTTATAAATTTTTTCTTCATTAATAAATTGAATTTGAGGAAATATTAGTGTTGTGAACAATTATGAATATTTAATTTCATGCAAGAATTATTATAACACCTATTTTAATTAGTAGGTACCAATTTAAATACTTTTCTGAGCTAATTTCTTATGTTTAAGCATAGCAATAATATGTTGACTAGACAACTATAACAAATAACTCACCTAGTATACAGGATCAAAATCATTGAAACTTCATCGAAATATTGCCGATATGTATAGTAATTTTTTTTCCGCAGCCAACTATTCTTAACTGTTCACACATGTTTTACCATCAGTGTATTGAAACTTGGACGAACAGTATTAATAAATGTCCATTATGTCGAACGTTGGTGACAAATAAGACGTATTGTCTTCCATTAAACACATTTTTAAATAAAATAAGTCCCTGTTTATTAGATGAAATAAGTGGAAGACGTGAATAACTGAAAATAAAAATAATGAGTAATATTTAATTTTTTTGGAAATATAATGTACACGTAAAGGAACATCTTAGTTAATTTTATATTTTTTAGATGGTACGACTAATATAAGCATACAATGAAATAATAGAAATAATATGATGCACCGCATTGGACTGACGTGAAGATACCGAGAGGAATAATACTAGTGAAGAATAATATTATAATAATATTATTATTAGTAAGGAATAATATTAGTAAAAAAGAAACAATAATCTTAATGCAAATTTCAATGATGCAATTTTATCAGTTCTTCAGTAACAAGGAGAATGCTTTCGTTTTTTTTTTTTTTGTAACACTATATATTTCTCAGCGCTTGTCTGCCTCATCTTAATTTTGTAGAATTGTTTTTTTTTTAATTGTAATAATTTTTATGATTTCAATTTTTTTTTTCTATTCAGTTAAAGCATATTTTTATATTTTAAAAATACATATTCAAGGTAGATCGATATATATATATATACTTTCTATAACTCCTATATTTATTGTATATGATTTTTTTTTTTAATAAATATTATGTTATTCTTGTTAATTTGTTGTTGTTATTTATTAGAAATACAATATGTCATAAGATATTCACATATTTATATCGTCAGATACGAAATCAATAAAGAAATTTCCTGTACAGAATTCCTATATAGAATCAGTGTCCAATAGAAATAAACCTAAAACGATGAACCATGCAGTCTAATGGATATAACATTGCCATATATCTCCATAAGCCTAATCCTTGTATTAGTACTGAAGAATGGAGGGAATTGGGCCGATCAACGATCGAACGTTTAAATTAATGCGTTTTATTTTTTGTTGTAACTTGAACGTTCATAGTCTGTCCAACTGATTGCCGCTACCTGCATAGGGCGACTTGTTTTCCTTGGTTAATCGTATGTTGATCATTAGAAGAAAATCGAAGTTCATTTGATTCTTGGATTCTACGATAGAGCGTAATTCCAACGACTTCCCCGGGCGTGGAAATCCCACTGGACGTCTCTGGAAAAAGTTATGCGGTGCGTAGAGGTGGAACTATGAAATTTTACGCCTGGAGAAAATGTTAAAATTACGCCCTATCATGGACCAATAATCAAATACTCTTCTCGAGAATTGTATTTCAAGTATAAGGCCTATGCATTAAACGCATGAAGAACGCAAACATAAAACGTTTCGTGCCCATGGGGTTCGTTGTTGGCGCGACGGACCTGTGTCGTGCTCGTTGCACACCTGGGTCACGACCTACGACGTGCTGCATGTACACTTCATTAGCGCGTTGTCGTTTCATCGGTCACACATTATAGCCCCCTCCTCCCCCCAAGAGACGCGTAAGATATCGCGATACACGTGCCTGTTTGTTTATTTTTCGTTTTTCGTACGTTTTGCACAAACACACGGTCAGCGGGGTTATTTCATTTTTTTTTTCTTGAGCATGTTCTTAAGCGATTGCCTACTCGATCGCTCATTTTACCGAATCGTCGATAAATGTGGAGGGAGCGGGATGTCAAACCAGTCCGAAAATAAAATTATTTTACTTTGTTCTAAAAGTACACGTGTCATTTTTTTTTTTTTGCTTTACAACACGTCAATGACTTTATGAAATACATGTTTATATTTTGATCATGTGCCGACTTTGGAATAATTTGACCCTTAATGCATGACTTGAACCACCCCGAATGACGGCACTGATACGAATCAGAACAGGCGTGTGTTCCTGTTTTCGTGCTCTCGTTCGTGTTATAGTGTGGCTAGACGCGCATATTTGCCCAAATGTTTTACACGCCTTTGATCATCTATCAGTTTCCCGTTGGTGTTCGATATTGTAAGTTGGTAGCACCATGTCTGATTTGCAAATTTCTTTTGTTTTTTATATTTTAATTCGTATGAATTAAATTATAACGCGTTAAATCGATTTACAATGAGAAATTTTATATCGCATAAGCATATGCAATTTATAAAAGATGGATATTAACAAAAAATATTGTTTATCAATTTTAATTGATATTTAGTTAGTTGGCTTGTAGCTGTTGATCACTTCTTCGGAGCGATCGATTTAGTTGACGCGTACGCTGGCGCAAAATCAACATTCCTTCATGTTCGTCGGAATATCCATCGGGAAGGGACGAACCGTGTAACACAACGAAATATAATATCGGTGCGATAGCGCGTTACTGTTTGACGATGACGTTATGTTACACCAAAACGCGCGGATGCATTATGCCTTATGGATTTTTCTCGTAATGTTCCGATAGAAAGGCAATAAAACTTCGGGTTTTTCGGACGCGCTCACACAATCGAAATCGAATCGAATGGTCTCCCGTTGAGATGTTTTGTTTCTGCTGGTCATATTTTGTTGGAATTGCTTCGTGGCCATCGTGATCGTCCGATCGGTGTTGAGGTAAGATAAGTAAAAATGTATCTAGATATGGATAAAAAAAAAAATAATCACTCAAAGATTATTTAGATCAAGATAGGATAAGACAAATATTTTAATGTTCCCCCGGATAATGTAAAATACAAACAAAATTTATCTAGATAAAAAAAAAAGGACATATAATAAATATTTAAAATAAAATTTATACTTTACAATTTTAATTTATTATGTTTACTAATGATTAAAATCTTAACATTAGATGCACACACATTTGAAGTATAACATGAACAACTATCTACTATTATGTGCAATATTCATTATAAACGTTTACCCATTCTCACTCACAGAATTTAAAAGATTATAAAATATTACAAGTATAATTTGCGCATTAAGATTAATTTAAAATTGAACATTAAGACTTATTCGATTAATTACTACATCTCACAGTACCAAGAGAAATCGATCAGGTTTGATGATAAAATTGCTAATAAACAATTGTTTCCATAAAAGATTTTCCTAACGTTTATAGTGCGTTTAATGATCTCGAGAAATAGAGCGTAACATTTTAACTATTAAGCATCACAACACAAAACCATAATTCTTCCATACAAAAATCATCACTTTTCATCAAGGACATAAAGAATACCGAATTACAACTGTACCTACATAACAATAACGAACAGCGTTCAGTCGATAGTTGTTATATTGCACTGGACTATGCGGCCAGAGGAATATCATCATCCGCATTCTAACGACAGCGTATCACGCGCTTCTTCCACCGAGGTGTCCGCACACAAGTCCGGAGGGTTCAACCGAAAAATGGTTTTTCACGATTTAATTCGATAACCGAAACACCTATCGACGCGATCCGCAAACGCACATCACTTGGCTAGAGGCGTTGAGAACATAGACATCGTAAGACTGGCGCACACTGTGACGGCCGACGCGCAGTCGGTGAGCGACGGACGTAAACGTTTGCCGGCATTCCACGGCCTGTGGAAAACACCCGAAAACCCTGAACACCGTTACGGTAGATCGTAGACAGTCCGATGCTTCACGTTGGCACGATTCGATTTCGGGTCGGCGATCGATTTTCTGTTCGTCCAAAGCCCGACGGTCGTGCACACATTTACGTGGATCGTTTTCGTCGATCGTGCGCGTTTGTCGTGCTCAATACTCCGACCGGTACGAAAAACGCGATCCCGGCCGCGAGACCTTGGGGGGCGGATGACCTTTGCGGGCGGCGGTACAGTATGAGTGGCGGCTACCGCGCACGTGACCGGACCGGACGCGGAATCGCTGGGCCGCATTCCCGTGCGTACCCGAATACGGAACGTGCTGCTGCTGCTGCCGCGCGCGCGATCAGACAAGTGGACGCGACCGAAGAGGAAAACCGCTTGCCCACTGTAGCGGGTGGGAGAGGGTCGGGGGCGCGGAGAAAAAGATAAATAAAATATTTATACCGCATTGTGTCGCCGTACGCGCACACTATGTACGCGCGTTTTTCCGATCGGTCCGCCGCCGCCGATTTCCGAGAAACGACTCGAAACTAACCTAGCGCGGTGCCCGTCCCGCATGACCGCATGATACCTAACCTTACATAACCACCGCTCCTAAGTATCCGGGAAACGATTGTTGAATATTTATTGGTTTCTTTCCCATTCGATTCGCCTTTGTCGATCGTTGTCTGTTTATGTGTTTTTCTTCTCATTTCCGTTCCCCGACACTTTTTCTTCGCGCTCGTCGTGCTCGATATTTCCCGCACGAGAACCGAGGGGCCAGTTTTCGTCTGAAATCGGTCGGTATACGACCGCCGTCGGTCGGCGCTCGGGTTCCACTCGACCATCACATTTGTATCGAAACATCAGCAATTTTTTAGTTAATGTCCATTTAGGACGTAGTCGATGTGTTAAGATTTAGTTAAACGTCATCGACTTGGACGGACTTTACGATATGCTCGTTTATCACCACGTGTGTCGTGATAACAATATTTTTGAAAAAACGTTGGGATTTTTTTTTAAAAAAAAAAAAAAACAAGTAATGCGAAAAAAAAAGAATAAAATTAACAACGGCGGATCGCTTGCTCTTTGCGTAGATCCGGGAACAGGACCTCGGTTAGAACACGATTGCGTATGTTTATAGATGGGTAACAAAAAGGTGGGTAAGAAGAATAAATAAGCACGATTGTGTATGAAATTGTATGCATCGTTGTCAAATTTACTAATTTCACTGTTGTTATATCTAATAAACATGGAATACATATACATATAACAGTTCTATAATAGTTCATAAAAAAAATTAATAATAAAATATTAAACAAAATGAGGATAACTAAATAAAATAAAAATAATTAATAAATAAATAAAATCGACAGTTTTTATTGGAATGAAATTATTGTTTAAATTTGAGTTCCTTGACATCTATAACCTACTACTTTTCCTGAAACTCGGAAAATACCGTACAATAAAACAGAAACTACAAAATTTCGTTATATCTGATATATTTGATATCGGTAATAAAAACGATAAAACACAAAGTGTTTATTAACTTTTTCAAGTTTTCTCGTATAAGCATTTGGTGTACACCAATACCGTTAATGAAATGTGGTGTCAACGTTTAAAACTTCGTACGCAATTGTGTTTTACCCTGACTTGCATCACCGCCGAACCTGCCTATTTTCCCGCGTACGTTATACACGCACTATCACGCGGCACTTGCGACGATGTCCACACCGTTTTTTCATCTGTATATTTTTATTTTCATTTTGTTTTTTGATTAATTGTTCCG